AAAGTGATGCAATATTGCAGTGTATCACCATGCACACATAAAAGGACAGGTGATACTTTACGCTGGTGAAATTCATGACAATAGAGTAATTCAAGAAGCCAAGGAACTCTAAAACTGCGCCTTACATGCATTTATCAAATTCATTTGTCAAGAACTTTGAACACTTCATGTAGAGTAGACAAGAACTGTAAACGTTAATTGAGAAAGTTACTCCTAATTATGACGTTCCTTTAATAGAATATTATTTCCTGTATAAATATGAAATTAAAAACGTATGAAAGTAAAAACGTAGGCATGTGTTTGTGTGAAGGTAACAGGTTCTTTGGCTGAGGATCTCTCGCCTTAAATTATTTATATTGCCATATGTGTAACTTATGCACATGCATATGGAGAATTCTACGTGGGAAGAAAACATGATAGACTGCAATTGTTGGAAATTAACTAGTTCTTGTGGAACGACCCCATCGATTAACCTCTCATTCTTTAGTCCAATGGAATGATTTGCTATTTACATTGTTCTACATCCTTTTCTTTATTTCTTCACTTAATATATATACTTTATTTCTTCACTTAATACACATGCTTCAGTGTCTAATATTATTAATATATGTTTAATATATACTTGTCAGTATATATTATTATGTCTAACATATATTTTATTTCTTCACTTAATATACATGCTTCAGTGTCTAATATTATTATGTCTAATATATACTTGTCAGTATATATTATTATGTCTAACATATACTTTATTTCTTCACTTAATATACATGCTTCAATGTCTAATATTAACGTTATTATTGTATAACAAATTAATTATGTTCAATGTTATCATTTTATAATGTTATATCATTATAAAGAGAACCAATAATTAGGAAGAATATCTTTGTCAGACCTTATCATCATTGTTTGTACGTTGACTGTATGTTTACAGAATCGAATGCAAGAAAGTTTAAAACTGTTCGACTCAATTTGCAATAACAAATGGTTCACCGACACCTCGATCATTCTCTTCTTGAACAAGAAGGATCTTTTCGAGGAGAAAATACGGAAATCACCACTTACCATCTGCTTCCCCGAGTATGCCGGTAAGAAAATCTCTTTCCTTTTTTTTTTTTTTT